GGGGGCAGGCAAAGGGGGTGGGTGTGGGGGGCACATCGGGGTGCTGGGTGGTGTTGGGGTGAGGGTTTTGCTGTCCAGAACATACCAGACTCATGCCCTCTGTCCCACGGTCCAGCCCAGCTTTGCACGGCTGCTTCCTCATCACCTCGGGTCTCCGTTCAAATCACCCCTCCAAGGAGCCTTCCTGGACCCCCACCCAGCCCGGCCCCCCAGTCTCTACCTGTGGCACCATCTGGAGTTCTGCAGAGTGTTTTGGTGCTTTGTGTCACTAGACTTGTCTTGAAAGGGTCACCTGCCAGTCAGATAGCCATGAGAGAAATCCAAACCCTACCGGGTTTTATGGTCCTGGGACTATGAAAGAATGCAGCTTCCTTCAAATGCAAAGATGGTTATCTTTCTTGTTGACATTTGGGGCTTCATCAACCCATGTAATTTTGGGAAGCACTTCTGTATCCAAAGAAACTCAGGTGGGCAACACCCAGACTGCCCCTCTGTGGGAGAGACTGACCCAGTGAGGAGGGGAGCAGGGGCTGGGCCAGGTCCTCACAGGTCAAAGTGTCTGACTGATAAGTGAGGCTTCGAGTGCCTCACTCAGCCTGGAAACCACCTGGGACGGCTTCTGTGTTGCGCGGTGAGGACCCGTCTCTCAAACTCAGGAACGTTTAAAGTATTAGGGGGTTGACAGCAACAAAACCGTAGTAACACCATTTTTGTGCAGCGAATCTGAGCACGTTTGGTGTTTTAGGAGCTTGTTTCAAAAATTCCATTAGAGTAACGCTCTTGTAACTTAATGTGCAATTCAATAGTTGTTTGGAATTAACCTCTGCCCACATTTGCATGTTGTACCGCAGCAGTCGAGAGCATTCCAGCCCTATCATAGTCAAAGGTTCAATTTAGCAGAATTGCAGTAGGTTTATTTGTTACATTAAAACTTGGAGTACTTGGGCCGGCCCGTGGCTCACTCGGGAGAGTGCGGTGCTGATAACACTAAGGCCCCGGGTTCGGATCCCATATAGGGATGGCCGGTTCGCTCACGGGCTGAGCGTGGTGCTGACAACACCAAGTGTTAAGATCCCCTTACCGGTCATCTTTAAAAAAAAAAAAAAAACTTGGAGTACTTGAAAAGGAAAATGAAGATATTATATTTATTACTTTAAATATTTGAAAGTTTTAACCAAGTTTGTAAAAAGAGGCTAAACATTGACAGGGGACTGCTAAATTTTGTTACACTTATACTCAGGATATGCTTAAGGCAGAACGACGATTTTTTAAGATATAATAAATGCTAATAAATTTACAAATTACTTTAAAATCCTTACAAACCCGGGAACCCAGAGAGGTCCCTCCTGCGGGGCCTGACTGCGCAGGTCCCGGGTCGGTTGTAGCCCCGCCCAGGCCCCGCCCCCTAGACCCGGGGTCCGCCCACCCCTGACTGCCCTCGGCGGGAATCAGTGTCGTGCGCATGCGCGGGCGGCGGCGCGGAACCTTGGAGCGGTGGAACCCCGGCGGCGGCTCGCGGCCCCGGGGGGAAGGTCCGTTGCAGGGCAGGTCCGCCGCCGGGCGTTTCCGGACACGAC